AAATTTCCTCTCAAAAGTGCATCGATCATTAGATATTTGAAAATGCCCTTAACACGTGATCAGATCTCAGAGGTGAGAAGTGTAGCCGACGTAGCAGTAAAACAAATTTGGCTAGATGACACCTTCGTAAAAAGCATCGTTGATAAGGTATCTTCAGGTGTTCTCAATTGCCTTAACGGTAGATTTGAACAGTTTGATAAAAAACTAGACAGTCTACAAGAAAGTCTAAAAATTATAGAAAATAACTACAAACAAGAAATAGCAGTTCTGAACAATAAGGTCAACGAACTTGAAAAAAAATTGGGGAATGCCACTGGAAATTCCCAAAATCTATTCGAAATTATGTCCAAGATAAATGAAATAAAAAGCAGAGAAAATAATGTACTTCTATTTGGAGTGGCTGAAGATGTCGATGCAAAATTAGTTGGCGCCGAAGTAATTGAAAAAGTGGTTCCTAACTTCAACACGAACAACTTACAAATATCCCGCTTAGGAAAAAATCTGGGAGACAGACCTCGTCCAGTGAAAATGGTTTTATCCAACCATAATGACGTCGTTAGTCTACTCGAAGGTAACAGAGTATTACGCACAGATCAAACATTCACAGACATTTCAATTAGAGGAGACTATACAATCAAACAACGAGAATATTACGAAAATCTGAAACGCGAACTTGATATTCGCTACAACAGTGAAGAAACTAATTTATTCATTGAACACAGGAATGGAATGCCAATTATTCTACGAAAAAACTAAACGATACATCCAGACGATATTCCACCGACATCGTCAAACTAAGTATTCTCTACCAAAATTGCAGAGGTCTCAACTCCAAAACCCATCTTTTCTATACCAGTGTCTTGTCTTGTGACCACCCTATCATAGCAGTGTCTGAAACGTGGATAAGAGAAGGTGTTCGAGATGGGGAGCTTTTTCCACCCAACTTTACAGTGCATCGTGAAGATCGATCTTTTGGTTCCGTAGGCAGGGGTGTTATTTTGGCAATGAACAGTGACTATTACGAATCTGCGTGAGAATATCTCTTGCAAGTAATTCCTTCGTTAACATCTTACTTTTATATGTACCATCAGGCACTTCATTTAGTGATTATGATGTATTATTTGACTTTTTAGAAAACCTCCCTGATATCAGCCGATCGATCATCATAGGAGATTTCAATATAACAGAGTTTCAAAATTATGTAACTAATAGACGCATAACCAATTTAGTCAGTAGATTTCTAATGTTTATCAATTTTTGTGATCTCTCTCAAAAAAACCTAGTAAGTAACCAACATGATAGAATTCTCGATTTAGTATTATCGCCTAGAAATATTAAGTGTGATGTTGCACTAGAATTAGAGTCTTTAGTTCAAGTTGACCCACATCTCCCTACTCTTGCTATTAGTCTAGAAATAAACTGTAAAAAGACAAGAAACTTTTCACCCTCAGCCAAACGTTTTGACTACAATAAAATGGATCATAAAAATTTTTCGCAATTACTTAACAATATTAATTGGGACATTTTGGAGGAGTACGGTGATGTGAACTTAGCATGTAGTACCTTCAACGATATTATTCAATCTATAATTCCAGAGTGTACACCACTAGCGAAGAAAAAATCAAAAAAATTTCCATCATGGTATACAAAAGATCTCACTAACAAAATCAATATGAAAACCCATTATCTGAAAATGAACAGGAAGCGTAAATGCCTGTATTATCTTGAGAAATACAAAAACTTGAGAAAAATTGTCAAAAAAGAAATAGTCATAGCTTATAAGAATTTCATTACTAACTCTGAAATCAATCTGAAGTCTAATCCCAAAGATTTTTGATCGTTCATCAATTCTAAAAAAAGTAGGACGCGAATTCCTGGTGAGATGATTTACAATGATACAAATTTATCATCACCTAACGACATTGTAAACGCTTTTGCCACCCACTTTAGTAGTGTTTATACGCCTATCACTGCAACTTATCAGAATATATCACATCAAGCATTATCTAATCCAAGCCTGTATTTAGACCTACCTGTAATATCAATTCAACAAATAATCATTGCTTCCAAGAAACTTAAAAACAAGCTAACATGCGGCCCTGGCAACGTGCCTGTTAAAATTGTGAAGAAAAACATCGACTGCTTCCTTCGTCCCTTGTATATAATTTATAATCTTATATTCAAGCCTTCGACTTTCCCAGACATCTGGAAAATTTCACGAGTATGCCCCATTCACAAAAATGGTAGTGTATCGGACATAACAAATTACAGACCAATAGCTCTGATATCTGTTTTTTCTAAACTTATTGAAATCATTTCATCAGACGTCATATATGAACATGTAAGAACAACATTGTCCGAATTTCAACACGGGTTTGTTAAAAAACGTGGAACGACCTCAAACTTATGCACGTTTACTCAGTTTGTGTCAGATGCCTTGGATAAAAAAGTACAGGTCGATGTGGTATACACTGATTTCAGTAAGGCATTTGATAAAGTATCCCATCAACACCTCCTACAAAAACTTTCAGATTATGGGTTTTCCACAAGAGTTCAGAATACCTTGAAATCATATCTTTCAAATAGGCAACTGCATGTTGAATATGAGGGAGAAAGAAGTTTCAATTTTGTGGCAACGTCCGGGGTTCCTCATGGTTCAAACCTTGGACCTCTATTGTTTTTGTTATTCGTCAACGATATCTGTAACTCAATTAGCTCTGACAAACTACTCTTTGCTGATGATTTGAGAATATTTAAAATCATACGTAATAACCACGATGTCAATATTCTGCAAAACGATCTCGACACTTTGACTGAATGGTGCACCTCTAACAATTTACCACTTAACGTAAACAAATGCAAAGTTATGACCTATGCAAGAATTTTGTCGCCGGTGGAACACAATTATTTGTTGAATAATATCATTATTGATCGGGTAAATGAATGTAAGGATCTGGGAGTAATTTTCGACAAGAAATTGACATTTGCACCACATATAGAAAATATTACATCAAAGTCTGCTCGGCTCTCAGGCTTCGTTATTCGCAACAGCAAAGAATTTTCTTGTATTGAAACAATGAAAGCTGTTTATTTTTCTACAGTACGTTCTAAACTTGAATACTGCAGCACTGTTTGGAATCCATACCAGAAAAAATATATCGACTCAATAGAGAAAATTCAGCATAAGTTTCTGAAGTTCCTATATTTTGAAAAACACGGAACATACCCAGTACTTCATTATGATCACCAGCTACTATCAGACAAATTCAAGCTGACAACTTTGAGGAAGCGTAGAGAGATCTCCGACCTTACATTCCTTTACAAAATCGTCCACAATCTCATCGACTCATCAGAATTACTATCATTGATTAATTTCTATGTACCGCGAATTACTTCGAGATCGAACATAACTTTTCATATAGATGTACCAAATTCCTTGCATCATTTTCATAGTCCTTTGCTTAATATATGTAGACAGTTGAATAAGTAAGAAAACGTAGACATTTTTTCCGTTTCGCTAGCACAATTTAAAAAAATTCTGTTTCTACAAACTTCGAATTAATTATTAAGTAGTGAACATTTGCACAGCAATATTATCACAAAACTCATTGTTATATACTCCAGTAAGTGGATTTTCAATCTGTTTGGATGTATTATTAATGAATAAATAAATAAACAAATATAATCAATTATGGTAGCGGATGATTCAGTTATCCGGGTTGGTTGATGGATGTGCATTTGTAAATCAAAATATACCAAAAGATTTTCCAGTGTCACTGTGGCCAAGGATTCACTGTCATCATATATTGAAGTCCCCACCTAAGATTATCGTAGATTAAGGAGGAAGTTCATGAAGTAGAAGTTCTAGATTAGCAAAAAAAAACATTTTTGTTATTACTAGGCGGACTGTATATACACATTATGTAAACATGTGATTGACCTATTTTAATCATGGGAAATTCAAATTCATTTTCAACTATAAGGTTATTATATTTATTTACATTTTCCGCATCGATGTGACTACTATCGCTTATCAATATCAACGTATAACCATGTTCGGAAGTACATCTACAATATTTTTCCTTGATGTAGTAATCTGGAATAGCACAACATTCTTCAGGCTCTAACCAGTGTTCCGTGATCAAAACAAAGTCTGACATGTTTTCACTTTTTATCAATGAAGTAATGTCATCTTTTTTATTTCTCATCGATCTAATGTTGAGTAATAAGAGAGAGACGGATACTTGTTCATTTAAGTCGTAGGCGTGGATTTTCGGACCGTTTCTGAAAAATTTTGAGCATTCTGATCATTTATAATGTTGTTGCTGACAACATCTGCCATATGGGGAGTTTCGATAATTGAATCTCCTATCAGTAGACTCATTTCTGTGGTTTTGATTGTTCGCAACACGATGCTAGAATTTTTACGATCAATACATTTTTTTAAGTTATCTACGACTGAAAATTTGCTTCCCTCACATTTTTGATCAACAATCATTTCAATAGAGGAATTCAAAAAAGTTTTCTTGAAGTACTTAAAATTTTTTTGTAAATACCTCATAATAATCTTGTCATTATCACAATTTTTTTCACAAATAATAATTATATAGCTTCATTCATAGTTTTGGTGTTACTAATATTCTTGGTATTGAACATGACTACCACAAAATCATTTTCACCATGATTGATCGTTTCATAGAAAATATTTTTTGTTAGGTCAAAAACTTCACAATAGGGTTTAATGATAGTATTGACATCAAATTCCTTTATGATGATTTTCTTCAAGATGTCAGGAAACCCTTGTGCATATTCGTCTCCAATTACAAAAATGTTGTCTTTGACATTGTTGACATTATTGTTACTAAAAGTATCCAACAGTGTGGACACATTAGGACTTCGATCAGCATCATCAGCAGTCAGTCAAACAGTGTGGATTCGTCGCGACTTGAATTAGCATCATCAGATACATTCGGGGCCTCGAAATCATCAATCTCAACTACTTACAACACTCTTTCACTATTGAGTATGAGTTCTGGCTCGATGTAATTTTCATTATCTTCAACGACCTCTATTCGAAACTCATCAATTTCCTTGTTTATATTACTTATTGCTACATATCGGTTTTTGCTGCAGTTTCCTGAGTTGTTGCTCACCAAGGGGAATCGTCTTTTACGAATCTTCTTGTCTCTAGGACACGAATTGTTTTTCATTTTCTTACTCAACCTTCTACACTCCTTGGTAGATACATCATAAGCTCTTTCATTTCTCACTAATTTTTGTAATTCCTCATCCTTATTCACTAGTTCATCTGTTTGTACACATACATCTTTCTTGTCCGCTTGCCTTTTGATGAATTTTTCCAATTGCAGACTCACATGCTTTGTGTCAAGAATGTGCATATTGTTTTCATGCTCAAGTGCAGTAATAGTGGTTATCATTCTACCATTAACTTCAACCATGTCTTTATTTCTAATTTCTAACTGACATTTTGAGTCTTCAACGTCTTCATTTTTGGTTTCCAACTGAGAGTTTTCTAATCTGAGATTCCTTATTTCCAGGCTCAGTTCAGCTAGTTGACTCCTTTGAATTGATATTTCATTATTCAAGATGTCCTCAGCCTCTGAAACTTGAACATCGAAATATTGTTTGTTTTTATTAAAACGTTCAATGTGATTGTTTTTGTAATCCAATTCCATTCTCAATGCCGCAATTTCTTCAATGTACGTCTTTTTCCGTTCTTCGTCTTCTTCTGCTTTGAGTTGGCATTTGATAGAACATGATATTCTTTATCCTCCCAGCTTAACAGCTTCCTTCTGTCGTTCTGAGCAACTTGTATGGAACATGCTGATGCACGATACACAACAAAAATTTGAGAATTCCTTGTTCCTACAACAATCCATGTTACGCTCCATAATTGATTCGCACTGAACGAATTGTGTTTGAAGAAAATCAAGTGTGACCTGCCACAAGCTCTCCTATTTACTGTTCATATCCGCCACTGGACACCTCAAATCCTCGCTGACGATATATCTTTATAAATGTAGCAAAAACTCGATGCGATAGTGAAATGAGAAAAACTTGAGTTTTTTTGTTGTGGTCTCGTTTCGCTCACTTTTGAATGAAAATGGAGTATGTTATTAGAACTTCCAGATATAGTTTCATGCACTTTCGCACTGATTCTCTAAAGTCATATTCAGTTAATCGGAATATATAATGGACAAATTCAATATAAGAAAAAAACGGTTCTTGAACGAGTAATTTTTATGCTATAAAAAACACTATTTAACACAGAGCTCATTCACTGCGACCGTAGCCGACACCGACACCGATCACCGATCAAATTCCGAACAATTTCGCTGAGTTGGAAGGTGTCCTATGATTTGGTCGTGAACGATGATGCAAAAGGCTTTGGTGTCGAAAGGGAAACCTGTCGTCGCTTCAATGTCCAACTTTATGTCAACTGTAGACGACTTCAGACCCAGATGGCGCCTCGAGCAATCGATGAAAAACATTGGTCGGGTTTTGAATTCATTGAAATTCACTAGAGCGCTTTTGTTGACAATTAGTTATGGTAGCTCTTGTTGAACTCTGTATAGTTAAAGTGAGCGTCGGCATATTGGTCTTTGGAAAAGTCCAAAAGCATTCTTTCTTGTGGATAATAGTCACTATTCAGAGTCAATCATATCGATTTGATGTTGGCATTATCGAACAAGGTGACGTTTTCATGCAAATTATCGGCTTTTTTCGTTTGAAAAAATACTATAACATATCTTGGACCCTCTAATGCAGAACACGTTCATTATATATTATCATGGACTCATCTGCCTTGATACAAGTCAACAACTGCAAATTTGTGTCATCTTTGGGTGTGAGATGCGGCACTTTCAAATTGATTATTTCTATCGTTATATTAGCGGTTCTCTGACTGTGCGTGCTCCCTGGTATTGCATTAGTTATTGTCTCATTAATTTTCATGCTGTTGGCATAATTGCGAACCCTCACTAAATGGATAGACTGCTTGCCCCACGTTGCCACTTGATGATCATGTGAGATGGAAAACAAATGTTCCAGTGGAATGTTCATGGTGAATGTGCCATCGGTGTTGAGAATAGGAGCGTTGGGATAGTTCCAACCCGCTATGGCTAGGTGACGTGAGTCTCCAGGTGTGTAACACACGTATCCTCGCACTGTACTCGTTAGTCCAGGATATCTGACAGTGCCCAATTCTTTATTGCACAATTTATAGGTGCATGAATCAAAGAGATAGGCTCCAGCATTGTGAGTCAATGTACCAATTCCACCTCCGGTCACAGCCAATTCACCCTTGATGGTAATGATGCCATCAAACATGGCCAATTACGTATCTGCTTGATTGATTGTAATATCAATGACTTCATTGTTCTCAAATGATTCGACATATAGGTAATAGGTGAGCCACTCCACTTCAGTGATGCTCCCATCGAATATAGGTTTGCGGAAAACATCGAACACGGGGGCTGAAGAGATTGTAACCTTCGAGTGATATGAGAAACAATATATTGGATATGCTCAATGATTTTCTGCTCATGCTCTTCGAAGACACGACAGCTTTGGTGTATGGTGTCGAGGAAACTGATGCTGATGATGGCGATAATGTTGGTAGATTGCTGTCTGATTCATAGGAGTAATCAAACACTAGGAACATCTTGCGAGTTTCTTCAACTCCAATCTTATAATGATTTCTTCACCTCTGAAATTCACCTCTCTGAAATCTTGGTCGAGAATCTGAAGTGTAATGTTAGTGAATATTTCCGCCTGCTGACTATGGATAGGTAGATTAGATTTCTGGTAGTCTCGTCTATGGCGTAACCAGGATCTACTGCAACTGCAAACTCGTAGATCGTATGTGATGGTCTATCGTTGTAGAGGGCTCCGGCAGTAACGTTGCTATCAATGTGAATGGTTCTCACTTTGGTTATGCTGACTGGCAAATCGGAAGTGTGGACTTGTTGTGCGTTCAAGGATCTATTTGAGAATCCCAAGACTTGAGCTATGCTATCCTTTGGACGGAAATCAATGGCAAACCTTTGGCTCGAGATCTCACACTTCAGTGTATTGTTGTTGGGCTCCCACGAGAATGAATCATCAACGTCCTTTGCACTCGATATACCCAATTCTTTGCGTATGAATGTCTCAATGTCCACAATGTCGTATGAACCTTCGGAAACATCGATGATCTTTCCCGCCTTGGTCTCAACTTGCAGATGAAACTCTGATCCTTTGTCAATATTTGGTATACTGTTGTATGAATTAAATTTCAACAATGCTACAGTCCGTAATCAGAGTCTTGATTGAGTTGAAGTGGTGTCAAGAAGTCTATGGCGAGCGTAGATGTACGACCTTTCAATGTCACAATCAGAGACATGGCTGATTCATAATGACTGTGTTACTTGGTCTCATTGAAGAGGAATTATAGACATTGACGTCGACAATAACTTTGATTGAAATTTTGGTATTGCTTATTATTATAAATGATTTTCGTACCGGTACCAAAATATTGAGCCAATTCTCTGGGCGGTTTCAGATTGCCATAACTATCGAGATATAAAACTTTTTTATCATTATGTGAGTCACCCAATGAGTGCCTGCATGATTGGAGGTATCCAAATTCAATACAGCACACTCGCAATGCCATGGACGGAAAGGTAAAGTGCTCCGCATGAAAACACGTCGAAAATACGGTATTTCCAGCTGTTCGGCATACTTTATTATATCTTCATCGTACATTGATTCATTGGGTAGCTTCTCTAGAGTTTTTTGTTTGTTTGTTTCTTCAAGTACAGCCCGAACCCTCCCGATGTTTTGCGTAGAAATAGGCCGGAACTCTGCTTGCCGACAGCCTCCATTGCTTGATTATGTCTTTGATCTCCTTTGAGCTTTTTCTTTGCATTTTTCGCATCAATGACTGTCTTTGCGACTGCTCCGGCTCCTTCAGCTAGGGATCCTTGGGCTACCAAGGCAGCAAAGATTGGTATCAATGGTAAGATGCCTCCACTGTGTGGAAGAGGTATGTTTCGGGGTACTCTGATTCTTCTTTTACCACCAGCCCTCTGTAGCCTGGAATGTGTAGTTTGATGGGAAGTTTATCGATCAGAGAATTGAGCACACCCTCTCCGTGAAAGAGCAACATGAAGACTGACGTATAGGCAGCTCCACTACTACTCTCATCAGATGATGGAGATCGTTCAACAAGAACGGACGTTGCCCATCGAAAATTTGGACGAAATTTCATCAATCAAGTCATCGAGTAGTAAACAATGGAAACTGCTTCCGCATATGTTCAGAGCAACCTCCTGCGGACCAAGCGGATGTGGATAGACCAATGCGATGCTTTTCCTGCTGTTCAATTCGAATGGCACAAAATTCAAGAACGTTTACGAGTATTCAAAGTCGTTGTACCAACCGAAATATCAATTACTGCAACAAGTGCTGGATTCAGTGAGAGGCGTTGGTTTTTTCCCCTTCAAAGTGAATGACGAGGTCATTCGTCCATCAGAAGCGAACAATCACTCGATATTTATTTTCGATGATGTGTCATGTGACAAGCAGCAGGAAATTCTAGAATATTTCTCAATGTGTAGACACAAGGACATTGACGTGGAATACCTATGCCAGACCTATTCCAAGATATGAAAGCAGCTAGTGCGAGACAACAGTAACCTGGTAGTTTTATTTCGACAAGATGAAATGACACTGAAGCATGTGTTCAATGAGCATGTGTCACCAGACATGTCATTCGTTCAATTCAAAGCGTTGTGCTCAGAATGCTGAGATTTCAGCCAATATGATGCGATGGTGATTGCGAAAACTTCCGACATGAACGCTAGCAGATACAGAAATGGTTTCGATAAGTTTATAAGGCTGTGATCTTTGGGTCATTCATCAAGGTGACGTTAACCGGGATACATGATGACATTGGTGAAGCTCGACGCATGGAAAAAATCAACGAAATATCAAAATCAATCAGAAGAAAATATTCAGCTCTGGAATTAGGCGAGTCTGAGGATGATGAAGCATAACAGAAAATTTTCCAACCGCTGACATCACCTTTAAAGAAAATTGCCACCACATCCAAGGTAATGAAAGAAAAACTCGATGGAACACTGTCAAACATCAAGCGAAGCAAAACAAAGTCGTTGGGGTTAAAGGAGGAGAAGGAAGAGAAAAAGAAGAAGGAGGGGGAGGAGGAGCAATCGGCTATGAATCAAACTCATTTCATACCTATGATGGATGTGGCTGATAATCCTAGGCATACTGAAGATGATGATGAGGACGATTATGACGATGCTGATGATGAACTTTTTGCAGATAGTGAAAATATCTTGCCAGCTGCAATACACGATTACGTTGATCAGTATCCTGCGATGGCTCAGGAATATATGACTGAATACTGGACAAATTATGGAAACATCGATACGGCTTATGGTCCCAAATATAATCCAGTTACATCTAAATAGTCTCTCAACAAAAAAGGAATTAATTTACATCTAAGAACTGGATATATACTTGATAATGGATTTCAGTTACGTGGCACCCCATGCCTCTATTAAATACTCTTTCATAATGATTCATTCCTTACCAAAGATGATACGAACCCATACAAGCAAATACTCTTGCTCACCAATGCTCATCTGAATTCTGCAGGACGTATGAAGTC